GCTTTGCTTCTGGTGCCAAGGATCTCAGTGTGCTCAGGTGACCTTTCCTCACCATTCATAGTATGGGATGAAACTAGGAATGCTTCATTCCTTTTGTTTCTTCTTGTGGGCTGATTCAGTTCCTTAAAAATCCTCAAAGTTTGCCTCTTTTATTATTTGAGAAATAATGTACTTTTTGGAGCTTCTCAGTGTAGCTCTGCCAAGATCTTCCTGTCCTGTGATTGTTCTTGCTGCACTTGAGTTCTTTCCAACTTTCTAGTGAGGTGACAGTCTTCACATCTGAGATCTCTACTGACTCTGTGGTGATTCTGCCTTGCATGAAACAAGAGAAGTCAGTTGTCATCTGTTGACCAGTGTTGTGGATGACTTTATTGTTGAATTGGCAGTAGGTGATTGAGAGAACTGTACTTCCCATAATATCCAAGTGTGTCTTCCTGCCCTTTGTGTCATTGATTCTTATAACTCTGGACACTACTTCAGTTCCAGCCACATCCTCTGTAACCAGACTTGAGTACAGTGGTTGGTTCCTAAAGCAGTTTGACAGGGCTCTGAGATTGTGGAGGCTAAAATGAAGGTGCACATTGACCTTTTGACACCAGTTCTACCTGTTTGGCCTGGACAGTCAGCAGGCAAAGGTAGTAAGACAAATTACAATGTTCCTTATTTTTTCTATAGTCCATCATGGCTGTTGATTTTGGATGCAGCCTACATGACTTTCTGAGCTCTTTTGGGGCCCTTTAGGTGCATCTCTGGCCATTTGGATTGTCAGCACAGGTACTATTACACCATTAGCAATGCCTTTGGTATCTCAAAGCACCTGTTCTGCTGAATCAAATTCCCTGGATTAACAGGAACTCTCTTCAGAAACAGAACCATTTTGGCTAACTGTCTGAAGAATGACCATTTGTCCTCTCATCTGTGTTACATGTTAACTTTTCAGCTCCAGAAAGACAGAGAATAGTGGATATCATGTAATCCAGAATCTTTGAGATGATCTTTTCATCTCTTTTCAGCAGCAGCAGTGACCAAAAATAAACAGGCCAAGTTCCACAGCCATGACCACAAAATGTCTGGCAGGTT